CTCTGGACATCAGATAGTCACTACCTGACCTGGTCATGATGATACTGTGTATGTGTGTGTCTACAGCAGTTAAACCAAATACAATGTTTATATCTCCTTCTTTCAGATGATGAGATTGATTAGAACTCCTGACCAACCTTGTGGACTGGAAGTCAGGCTAGGGAATTTAAAAACAGGCACTCTTAAATGTGCATTGAAAATTGCCAGCTGATAAAACCTATTCTCCAGGGACCATATTCTTAAGATAAATGTAACTGGCTGAGTTAAATGATTAACACTAAACAGTAAGAAATCAGTCCAGTCTCACCAGCTGTAAATGTCATTGTCTGTTAAAGTCTTCTGTTGCTTATAATAAATTGACATGTTGATATCACATAAGCAGTCTTTCAGAATGCTCTCAGTTACATAGATGCATATTGTAAAATGTGTGGTGGTGCTTATGGGGTGTCGCTGTGGGATGGTAAGTATGAGACTGGGAAGGAATATCAGAGTATACCCACTACAAAAAACTAGATTACACCACTGCTGCAGGGGCTGATTTAATAGAACTGCAGCAAATCCTGACTTCCGTTGTTGGTTTTTTTTGCAGGCCTTAGAAACAGGGTTTTGTTTGGAAATAGTTATAAAAAGTGTAATTATAGAGTGTGTTTGGCCAGAGGCAGCGGGTTAATGTAAAGCAGAGAATGACTCTGACTTACCCAGCAATAAGTATCAACCACCCGTCCTGCCCCTGACTGCACCTCTAAACTCCTCTAAAAATAGTCACGGGGTGTGTGTGTGTGTGTGTGTGTGCGTGTATGTGTGCAGGTCCACAGCAGTATTTTTTTTTGCCACAACCCAGTTTGAGTGCATATGGTTGTAATCAGAGCAAAATTTGGTATGTGTGTGTGTTTGTGTTTACTACAACAATGTCAGTGGTGTTAAAACAATGGGCTCCTGCAATAGAATAAGCAAGTCGAATTGCAATTAGCATGAAATAATTGGGGGTCCTGAGAGAGGGCCAGGCTTGGTGACCCAGACATTACGTCATTTTCTGAGATTTGTGGTGCTTACTAAGGTGGTTAGGATGATTCCAAAGGCCCGACGAGGGAGAGGGGGTGACCCGACGACCCCCCCGGTATGCGATCGCGGAGGGTGCCCGAGTCAATATCTGTTCAGGGGGCCTAGAAACCATAACAGTGCCCCTGCTCAAATTGCTTGTTGAGATGATGTGTGCTATTACTTTTCTAAGGGATCTGACTTTGATTTTTGCTTGGCTGATATCCTGAACATTGCTGAAATAGCACATAATGGGCATTGATACTTTTTCGTTTGTGCATTAATGACACAATTTTCGTGTTTATATCATTTAAAAATATATTAAAATGCAATTAATACAATGAAAGGAAACGAAACGAAATGAAAGAAAAGGAAAGGATGTGACGTGTGGCCAAGTATGGTGACCCATACTTGGAATTTGTGCTCTACGTTTAACCCATCCAAGTGCACACACACAGCAATGAGTAGTGAAAACACACACACATCATAAACACACACCCAGAGCAGTAGTAAGCCATTTTTTGCTGCGGTGCCCAGGGAGCAGTTGGGGGTTCAGTGCCTTGCTCGAGGGTCTCACCTCAGTCATGGTATTGAGGTGAGAAATGATGGTCATTCAGAGACTCGAACCCACAACCTTTGGTTTACAAGTCCAACTCTCTAACCCAGTGGTCACCAACGTGGTGCCCGTGGGCACCTGGTAGCCCGCATGGAGTCTCTGAGTCACCCGCCAAGCACGATCTATAAATAGCCTAAATTGCGTCAGGCGATAAATGATATCATATCAAGATTATGATTAAATTTATGTTAATAATGATGATAAGCTCTGGACATTTTTACTTAATATGGATTAATCACAACAGAAATAAATGTTACAGCAACCAGTCAGTGCATGTTGCTAATAAGTCTGCATGTTCTGTGTGTCTCTGAATGCGTGGAGTACAGGTGCATCTAACTTGAAATTATATGATTGAATATGTTACTACTGTATGCTACAATGCAATTCTCAAAGTAATAATACTATTATTATTTTTAAGGAATATCATACAACCAAGTTTTTTTTATTATTAATGTATACAGTTCGGTTGTGCAGCATCATGTCTGATAAAATAAAAAATAAAAAAATACAAATACAAATGAAAAAAATAAATAAATAAAAATGCAATGTTTTGTTGTAAATTGATTTTCATTTGATTAAATTTTAAAAGATTGATTAAATTGTTTAAGTTTTATTAATTAATTTCACTAGACACCATTTTTTATGATAAATTTGTACTGAATCATAAAACATGGAATCCATAAGGAAATTGGTTAAATTCTTAAAGTTTTATTAATTCATTTCACTAGACACAATTTTTTTATGATAAATTTGGCACTGAATCATAAAACACGGGATCCATAAGAAAACAAATGGAAAACACAGAATTTAGGGAAAAATAAAATGCATTTTTGCATAAAATGCAAGATATCAAGATATTAGAGAAAAAAAAAATAATAAAATGTATATATATATATATATATATATATATATATATATATATACTG